CTTTCCACCCTAGTCCACCTCCCTTTCATTTGCCCATATAGAAAAGTATATGTTTTGTAAAATTTTTAGCTCAGTTTTTCAGCTACGCAGCAATAGACTTCTAAAGGTTGATTTGACATCAAGCAGGGAGAACCTTTAAAGCTACTAACCTGTTTTTCAGTTTCCACTATCACAGCATCTTTATTTTCTTCTGACACGATAACACATGTACTGAAGGATGACTTGAGCATGTTAATGACCAGGTCATTGGAAAGGATGTCCAACTTCTTTACTTGATCTCCTGTCACATTGGTAGACCCAGCAATTCCATAGCTAGAGCAATGGCAGAAGAGAGCATGTGGTGACAACAGGGCACTACTACGCCTTCCAAAGTGCTCTGCTTCTGGCAACCTTACGCTTGTAAAACTTTTGAACAATATCTCAGTTCTCTGAGCCCATTTTTTATTTTCTGTCCTGTGGATTCTTGCCGAGAGCTACTAACAGTAGCTACTAACCATAGGCAAACAGAGCCAGAGCATGTTGTGAAAGCTGAATTACACAGCAACTGTGTTTTTTAATGAGCTCTTAACTTTAAGACCTAAATACTGCCCCCGAATTGTAGGCTATGATATCATATCTGCATACTCTAAAAACTAAGACTTCATTAGAAAAGTTAAAAAGTAACAATGAATCTATTGACACTAGTTACGTTACAACTTCTTCTTGTAAATCGATCCTGGTTAGCAACACAACATGCAAATTACAGTACTAACACTTTATTCATAGATAAATCAATATTTTTATGTTTCAAGATTTTCAGGTTTGATTTTAAGTGGTAAACAATTCCTTGAGACTAAAACTGAGAAGTATGAATACAAAACACAAAAAAGCCATGAGAGCTAATCAGAATCAAACCGTCTGGGATCAGGAAGTACCAGGAGACCTTGTGATAGGTGATTTCGAAAGCATGCAAAACAAGAAAGAGGGGAAGTTTAGTTCTTAGAAGAGAAAAAAAAATTCAGCTCTGTACACATTCAGAAGACCCTTATGTACTTTAGCCACATTTCACTGATGAGGCTGAATACCGATTTTTCAGGTTTTTTATAATAACACTGAATACATGACTTCAGGAATGTATCGCATTTCTTCATTTTAGTACACGGAAAGAAAAAGACCTAGCATAATTCTCTGTCTTTCTCGGCTATAGTGGCTTGAACATTTTTCTCCGAGTGTGGAAGTGCTTTTAGAAAACAATATACTTTGAACACCATGCTTGTGAGTGGAGGCACAAAGCCTCATACTCAGAGCAACAGCTCCATACGTCCAGCAGCTACAGCTCTCACACATCATTTGTTGGAGGTGGTGGCAGGGTGCCCTGCGCAAAGCCTGAAATTGGGAAGGGACTGTGGCTTCCCTGTCTGTTCTACACCTCCACTGCTAGGCAGCACTAAGCATACAGCTGAGCCTGAGGACAATCCAAAAAAATGGTTCCCAGACATACCTACTTGTTCATATTGCCTGATAGCCCAGCAAAATCCCACCACCAATTATAAAATACGATCTCACAGTGGGACATGTACTGCTGAAGGAGGCTCACAAGTCCAAAGCTCCAGCACTAGTGGAAAGTCAAATCCACCACAGGGGATCATACAGGCTAATAGCATAGGTATCAAACTCCTGGGCAGCTGTCAACAAGCATGAGTAGGACATGGAAGGAATGGCTTATTTAGACTGTTACAAATCAAGTCACAGACGGGAAACCCTAGTCTTTACTGATAGACATAGGAGGCATACAAAAGGGCTAGGACATGGTTAAAAAACTATCACACCTGTATAAAGTCTGAAGACCACATGAAGGTCTATCAGCAGCAGACATCTGTCAAAGACGGCACCCTTTATATTATTAAAAAGTCACAGGACCCCTTTCACTTGAGAAAACCGAGTATCCAAGATGCTACTTGTGCAAGGGGGCAGGTGGATGTTACCCCACTCACACGTCTTTCGGGTGACAACCCTTCTACCCCCATCCCCACTACCCCGCGGGCGGCAGGATCCCCTGGACCGGAGGGGATGCAGGGAGGCGCGGGATGCTACCCGCCCGCCTTGGGCATCCCCGGCACTCACAGGTTAGCGATGCCCGCTTTACGGACAGCGGTGGAGATGGCTTTGATGGCCGTGCAGAGGGAGTTGAGGAGCTGCGTGAACTCCCCGGTGCCTTTCGCCCGCCTGCCTTCCTCCATCACGAAGCGGGTCATGGTGATGACATTGGTGTCGAAAGCGGAGCGGTCCGTCATGGTGGCGGGGCCGGGAGAATGGAGCCGCAGACACCTCT